GTTTGTCTCCCTGATTTATATTCCACCATTGACCAGGGCTGGATTAGGGTTGGTTGGCTTCAGCCGCACCTAACCCTCCACAACTGGGGGTGTTTAGAAAGCAAGGGGGATGAACCCTGTACTCTCAAGCCTCAAACAGTTTGCAAGTGGACGTGTTACATGAGTGCGTTTTATATGTACATGGAAGTTTTAAAGAAGAGATTGGACAACCATTTGTCTGAAATAGTATAGGGTTTCCTTCCTCACCAGGGAGTTGGACTAGGAGACCTCCATGGTCTTTTCCATATTCTATTCTACTCTACTCTACTCTACTCTACTCTACTCTACTCTACTCTACTCTACTCTATTCTATTCTCAGTATGCTTCCCACTGTTGACCAGACCTAGGTGTGAAACCAATCTCAGCCACCCATTGCTCCCTGTTAGGCCATTGTGCCATTGACCAGGAGTGTTCACATTGCAAGGGAGGTCGATGGATCTCTTGTGGCCCAACAGGTTGTGTAGGGGATTTAAATGACCTAAACACATGGGCTCAGTACAGGGGAAATATGAAATGAAGATGAGTAAGAATAAGGAATGTTCCCTCAGCCATCTTGAAAATGTGGTAAGAAGCTTTTTAAAGCTTAACATCTGTTGGAATATGAAAGCTGAAATCTTCGTTAAATACAATGCTCTTTGGCATCAGGATATGCCTAATGTATAGCCTCCAGGATGATCAATTGATTTGGGGGTCTTTGAGGCTGTGGGGGACTATGCCCAAAGAGGCATGGACAAGAATCAGCAAGCTTATGATGTGCTTTTTTTTGGACCGTGCAAGGAAATTGCTCTCCAGCACTCAGGCTTTATACTTCTTCAGTACCCCCTTCTTATAAGGGACTTTATTCCCTTACAAAACATGTTGCTATTGGAAGAGGGGATACCCAGAAGGTCCTAGTAAGTTTATACTCCCTTTTCCACTTCAGAACTCTGTGCATGGAAGGACAGGCTTGGTTCCTATATAGCACACCCACATAAATACACGGATCTGGTCCTGTCCATTATCCGTATCTACAACCCCAACTGGGCAGACTTACAGGCCACGTTAGATATTTTCCTTACATCAGAAGAGAGACATTTAATAGTGACTGCTGTAAGGAAACTTGCTGAGGAGAGAAAGGCCCTTTTTCCAAAAACTGACCCTAAGTGGTCTATTGATAGCTATGACAGCACACATTATGAACACTTGAAGGCATTTCAAGATTTAGTTGTCACTGCCCTGCAAACTGCTGTTCCAAAACAGAAAAATATAGGAAATATATATGATGTCTATCAGCTGCCCTCAGAAAGTCCACCTGACTTCCTTGAACATTTTTATCAGGCCTTTTGGACTTCCGGTTCCGGATTGCGCGCTGGCAGTCGTGCAGAGAGAGTCGTCTCTTCGCCGGCCGGTTTCCCTTCGCCAGTAGACCCTTAACAGGGTCGAAAGTCACCCTGGAGGGGCGACTACCAATGAGGAGGACTCTTGTCGACCGCGGAGGGGCGGCAACTCCTTCTGCGGTCCAAGACAGCATCTTAGGGCCGATGGAGAAAAGATCGGCCATTGACATGGCCGATCACCTAGCCGCACCAGCCGAAAGTCAGAAGAACATCTAAGCGCAAAGAACCACCATGGAAGATCCGGGTGACACCTTTCCTTCCTTCTCCTTGCCCTATCTCCCTGTGAAAAGCTTCTGGAATTATTTCCCCACTTTGAGAGAGTAGCGTTTGTTTATTTGGGAAAAAGAGCTTTGGAAACAAAAGAAACAAATAGCTAATTTTTACTATTTTTATTCTTGGACAATTTGGGGTTCTGGAAAAATCCCTACCATAGAACTTTATTACTATATCTACTTATCAAGCTGGAGAATATTGTTTTTTTCTTTCTACTTTCCTAATGGGATAAAACTTTATTGGAATCTGGAAAAAAGATTTTACAGCCTACTGAGGACATCTTGTGGTGAAAGCTGTCACTGCAACAGTATTTCCTCTTTGTTTTTGAGGTTGGGTTTGACCTTCAAATGATTACAAAAGGGAAAAGATAAAGGATTTCAAACAGCTGGGTGGTAAAGTTGCCTACTAGAAATTGTGGAGGTGGATATTCGCTGTTAGCCTCCACTAAAAGATTAAAAGACTATTTCACCACTGAAATGGAGGAACTGTACCCACAGCTTAACTATAAGCTCACATTGGAAAAAATCTTGGAAGCTACAGAGCAAATCAATTCTAGGATGAATACTAAAGATATTTTAGAATTACAAACTGAACCCCAAATTTTAATGGACCAATCTATAGGCCAAGGAACAACAGAGGAAGAACAGATTAATTCCAAAGAGGCCTGTATGCAACAACACACACAACTTAATGAGATGGAGGAACCTTACCCACAAGTTAATTACAAATTTATATTGGAAAAATTTTTGGAAGCTACTGAGCAAATGAAGTCTAGAAAAGCCCTTGCCACAAAATCTCAAACTGATTTTCAGACTCCAATTGACTACTCCATAAGTAAAAAAACAACAGAAAAGGAACAAATCAACACAGAAGAGGATACTACACAATCCTACATACAATTCATTGAGAACTTTGACGACCAAAAAATGACTTTAATTGAAATACCTGTAATGCTAAAAGCAACAGGAAGTGATTTGCAAACACGAGATATTGAAAACTGTAATAATGTGGATAACCAACTAGTAACCATAACATGGAACAAAACTGATTATACCACTAAGACGATACTGGAAGAAGGAGAAGAGAACTATGACCAGATTGAAGTGTTCATAAACACCCCTAACCAAACACTGAGATTTGATGATACAGAGGCTCTATTATGGAAACCTGCCTGGCACAAAAAGAAAGCCAGAGTTAGATTTAAAAATATGACTTAAAATTTTACTTAATGGGTTAAAAAGGCTTTTAGAGATTTTGACTGACTTAATACTGAGATGAAAATTATTGATTAAACTATAGTTTGGAATTGTAATATGGAAAAGGCCCTAAATAAGGAGTTATTAGGATAATAAATAGTATATGTGAAATATAGTAAGAAGGTATTTTTTTTGGAATAACATGTTTGTTTTAGGTATGATAATTACTTGGATGGGATTTAAACTTTATTTAATGGATCAAAAAGGCTTTTTAGAGATATGTATTGATTTATAGAATATATATTTGAAATAGAGTAGAAATGTATTTTTGGAGTAATATTTTTATTTTAGGTATAATCACTTTGCAATGGAAGGAGAACAAGAAAATGGATTGTGATAAAGGAAGAAGTGGTATTAATAAATGACTTATTAGATTAAGAAATAGAATATATTTGGGAAATATGTTATTGTTGGAATAATATGCGTACTTTAGATATGTTAGAAATAAGGGAAATGAGGGATGCCCGAAGTGTAAATAATATGTTTATTAAAGGCCAAACTGGAATATGGTAATTGTAAATTAGTAAAGCTTAAAAACAGGATTTGGACTTATATAGGTGAAATGCCATTGATGATTGTTCTGTTTGATTGAATTTAATTTAGAAATGTACTAATTTGAAGATGTTATATTAATTGAGGGAAACAGAGAGGGAATCTTTAACAAATTAACTTGAGCTATACATGTACGATTTTGTCTTGGATGATTGATTACCCCATCACCACATCGTTTCCTAAGCACCTTGATGTAAAAACTAAAAAAACAATAAAACTTTTCTTTTTTTAAAAAAGAGATACATTTAATAATGACTGCTGCAAGAAAACTTGCTGAGGAGAGACCCCTTTTCCAAAAACTTACCCTAAGTGGTCTACTGATAGCTATGACAGCCCACATTAGGAACACTTGAAGGCATTTCAAGATCTACTTGTCATTGCCTTGCAAACTGCTATTCCAAAACAGAAAAATATAGGAAATATATATGATGTCCATCAGCTGCCCTCAGAAAGTCCACCTGACTTCCTTGAACATTTTTATCAGGCCTTTTGGAAGTATAGTGACTTGAATGTGGAAGTCTTGGAAAACCACTGTCTGGTGAACATGTTTTTTACCAGCCAGAGCACTTCGTTATCAGGAGCTAGCTGCAAAAATTGGATGGCGCTTCATCTGATATGATAGAAAACCTCCTGGAGGTAGCAAACAGAGTACATGTGGCTCGATCCAAGACTGAGGCTAAAGGGACCAAGAGCGAAGAAGAGTGCAGTATTGCCCTTCGGGCCTAAGCTCTCTAGCAGGCCCATTTAATGGGGGAGGCAGTGGTCTTCGCAGGGCGAGGAGTTGAAGGGTCCCCTAAAGACAATTGACATGCTGAAAGTATCTTGGTAGGTCTTAAGCACAGTTGAAATCTCCTAACAAAATAAGGAGCGAATCTGCGTATCTGTCTTCAGCCAACATAATCAAGTCAGCTAGAGTTTGTAATGCATTGTTTATTCAAGTTTTGGAGGAATATACATTGCAAATAGAATGAATGAGGAAAACTCTCGTGGAGAATAAAATGGTTTGCAACTGATAATTAATGTCTCTAAGTCCACATCACAGAATTTCTTTAGTGTGGTTACATTTTTACACCATCGGTTGTTGATATAAAAGCAGAGACGCCCTTCCTTTCTTTTTACCGGATGTTTCTGCAATTCTGTCCGCCCTCTGTATCTGAAATCCTGGGAAATGCAAGCTGCTATCATCAACTGACTCATTTAGCCAGGTTTCAGTAAAGCAGAGGGCGGCTGAGTAGTAAAAATCAGAGTTGCATGTGTTTAAAAGAAATATTTCATCCATCTTATTAGCAAAAGAGAGAGCTGCCACTTCCTTGATGACAATCTCCTCTGCATTTATAAAGATGGGGCGGGGGGGTATAGTCACAGAAAGCTGCCCATTAAAAAAACATTGCTTGATGCTTAACAGTTTGGCATGGAAATGAGTATTTTGTATTATATCAGCAGAAAGCATTGTAAAATAAATCCACTTTCTATACAAAAAAGGAAACCTGTGCAGTTTTTAAATTTTTCTTTCAAAGCTCTTCTCACACTTCCTTTATTGATATGGTTTCTCCAGTGTATGGATCCTTCTATGCCAAGCAAGAGTGGAACTCATGGCAAAGCTCTTCCCACACTCCATGCATTGATATGGCTTCTCCCCTGTGTGGATTCTTTTGTGGGAGATAAAATCACAATTCCACCTAAAACCCTTTCCACATTCCACACATTTATATGGCATCTCTCCTATGTGGATCCTCTTGTGGGAATTAAGACTACTGCTATAAGTAAAGGTCTTTCCACACTCCATGCATTGATATGGCTTCTCTCCTGTGTGGATCCTCTTGTGGGAATTAAGATTGCTGCTCTTAGTAAAGGTCTTTCCGCACTCCATGCATTTATAAGGTCTTTTTCCTTTGTGATTCCTATGATGGATTGTAAGAGAGTAATTACAAGAGAAGGACTTTCCACATTCCGGGCATTGATATGGCATCTCTCCAGTGTGGATCCACTTATGGGAACTGAGACTACTGCTACAAGTAAAGCTCTTTCCACATTCCATGCATTGACCTAGGGTGGATTTTATACTGGGTTTTTTAGGAATTTGGAAGACACAACTTTAAATTTGGTTTAATTCGGTTTTAAGGGGGAGATTGTATATATGCTTTGGTTTTAAATATGTTGTGCGCCGCCCTGAGTCCCGCTGGGAGAAGGGCGGCATATAAATTAAATTAAATAAATAAATAAATAAATATGGCTTCTCTCCAGTGTGGATCCTTTTGTGGGAATTAAGATTACTGCTACGAGTAAAGGTCTTTCCACACTCCATGCATTTATAAGGTCTTTTTCCTTTGTGATTCTTATGATGGCTTGTAAGAGAGTAATTACAAGAGAAGGACTTTCCACATTCCATGCACTGATATGGCTTCTCTCCAGTGTGGACCCTCTTATGGGTATTGAGATGACTGTTACAAGTAAAGGTCTTTCCACATTCCAGGCACTGATATGGCTTTTCTCCAGTGTGGATCCTCTTATGGTAATTGAGACCACTGTGACCAGTAAAGGTCTTTCCACACTCCATGCATTTATAAAGTCTTTCTCCTTTGTGATTTCTTTCATGACTTCTAAAAGAGTAATCATTACAGGAGGTCTTTCCACACTCCCTGGAGTTATATGTTTTCTCTTCTAAATGTGTCTTTTTATGGGAAATAAGATGATCAGATTTATTAAAGCTCTTTCCACACTCCATGCATTTATATGGTTCTTCTCTCATATCAATGCTTGTATGGTTATGAAGCCGACTGTACCTCGGAAAGCCTTTTTTCATTCCACTTTGTGATTGCTTTCTTTCATCACTCTTTGGCTGTATCTGATCTGGAAACTTCCCTTTTCCCTCTTTTGAATGGATCATTTGGCATTCTTCCTTGCAATTCTTATTTTCTTGCCCATTAAAGCCTTGAAAAAGAAAAATGAAAACTGTAGCAAGAATAGGGGAACAATCAAACCTTTTCTTCCTGATCTAATCTTTGACCTGGGACTATTCCATGGTGCCACAAACTCCCTAAGTGCATTGGACACTGCTGGGTTAGCAACATATCCACCCAGTCCAGAATTTCAATGAAAGTCTCATCCCCACTTGTCTGCAGAGCAGAATCTTTCAAAGCCAAGGGGAATTCCTGGATGGCAATAGCTCCCCACCCTCAACTTAGGCTAATATTAAACTCTGTACACAAGTGGGCACATCTCTAGGAAGGGAACATCCCTCTCAGGGCTAAATCCAGTCCTGCTTATAGCAGCTCACACCCATCGGGGAACCAATGACAGGCTCAGGAGTGGATACTGAACCCCTGGTAGGCAGGACCTTTGCTCAAGAGAGGCCACACCATTCCTGCATACAGCCTGTCCCTCACATTCTGGCTAATATCTTCTATGGCATGGAAATGAATATTTTGTATTTTATGAGCAGAAAGCGGTTTTTTTTAAAAACAAACCAACAAACCATTTCCTTTATGTAAAAAGGAAGGCAAGGCAGTTTTCCAATTTTTCTTCCAATAAATTTCCTTCTTCCATAAAGTCAGTTTGGTCAAACGGTTAAGGCACCAGGCTAGAAACTGGGTGACTGGGAGTACTAGTTCTGCCTTAGGCATGAATGCTGGCTGGGTGACTTTGGGCCAGTCTCCCTCAGCTCAACCCAGGTCACAAGGTTGTTGTTGTGGGGAAAACAGCAGGAGGAAGGAATATTGGGGTTTGTTCGCTAGCTTTATTATTTACAAAAAATAAAGGCAAGAGTATCAATAAATGACGTTTTTTATCAGAAATATCATCTGAGCCCCCCCACCCCATGACTTCTCTATGTTTCTGAGCACAGACAGGGATTCTTACCCAGAGAAGCCAGATTCCTGGAATTCTCCAGCATGACTTCTCCGTGGAGAGCTTTTTGGGCAGGGTCCAGCTGAGACCACTCCTCCATGGAGAAATACACGGCCACTTCCTCAAAAGACACAACATCCTGGAGAAGAAAAGAAATTTCCCTATTAACAGATAATCCCAAGAATAATTTGAGGTTTTTCTTCCATTAATTCTAGGAAAGAGATCCAGTGAACCAAATGAGCATCCTCTGCAGAATTCAGAGTGAGATCTCACCGCTTTTGGCTGATGACATAACTGAAGCAGATTGGATCTAGTTGGAGGTATTTGGAATGCTTTTCAGCTTAGCCAACTAAAATAGTTTTCTTGGTCAATTGGTAGTTGGGTCTTATATCCACTTAGTACTATATATATCTATGGAGATTCTCAATCACCAAAGATGCTTTTCAAAAGGCAAAATAAGGATTTTTTTGTAATGGTATGTGAGAATGACCCTGGGAGACGAAGGAACAGCCCCAATGCTCACAACTGTCTGGTCAGGAGGAGAAAGCATCTCACAAAGAGAGAGGGTAGACTAAGCTGAGCATGAATGTTCAATGACCGGATGTTAAATGTATATTGCTTAGAAACAGCAATTTTATACATTGAACTCTAAAACAAAATGAAATCCATCCAAGATTCATGGACCTTTTCCGACGTTTCTCCTCTTTACCTGAAGTAGAGGTTCAGCCAATCCTTCAGCTCCACCACAAAGAGATGACTCTACAAATTCCACAGACAGCTTTCCACTCTCTGTGAGACAGAGAAAAATGGGGGAAGCAGATTTGTTAAAGAGAGAGATTGTAATGATGTGCAGCTAAAGAATCAGCTAAATGTTGAAATCTCACATCGCACAGAAAGACCTTCTGTTACCTGGTGTGATGTCCTGACTTTGACCTTTCTGGAAGTTCTCCTCAAATAGCAGCTCTTGAGAGGGTTTGGATGAAACTTTCCCCCCCCTTGGGATACTCAGTCGTAGCTTCCAAGGATTTCTGGACATGATGTGATAGGAGAAACAAAGGAAGAGCACAGAGATAGAAATGAATTATCATACTGCACCTTCAAACTAGTAGACACCAATGTCCATTGTTGAAACCCGAAACGGAATGGAAGAATTGCCCCATATACATCCTCTGGAAGAATAGAACAACTAGCTTTAGGAGTTAATAATTCCAGAAAACTCTGACAGAAAGAAATTGACAATAATTCAGAAAACTGGAATGAATTGACAAATTCAGAGAGATCCTCTTTAGACCTGTTAAGACTATATTCTCACACCTGGAACTCTTCTTGCATCTTTTCCACATCCACGTTCAGCAAGAAGCCTTCGGCCAGGGCCACCGCCTGGGAACTGGTCTCCGCTCCACACTCGCGCACCCATTTCTCCATCTCTGGGGGAAGAAAAGCCAGGAACTGGTCCAGCAGCACCAGGTCCAGCATTTGGGCCTTTGTGTGTATTTCTGGCTGCAGCCACTGACAGCAAAGGCGGTGAAGCTGACTGCAAACATCTCGGGGACCCCTCCCCTCCTGGAACTGCACGTTTCTGAAGTGACAGCATTGGACTTCTGAACTGTTGGCTTCAACTTCTTGGCTTCTCTGCCCAGGAGTTGCCCCATTCGTTTCACAGCTCCAAGACTGAGCAACTGCAGAGCTTTTTCCAGCTGGGCGTTGTCCCTCCATCTTCTCTCTGGTCTCTAATCCAGCTCCAAAACAGACTGATGGATCTGCACAGGTCTTCCTAATCACAAGAGGTCTGTCAAAATTTCCTAAGTCCATTTAGCCCTCTTCCCACAAAAGATACTTAAGACTCAAGAGCAATCAGGAAAGATTTCCGACTTATATGTCTGAAATGGAAAACAAAAGAAAATTCTAGAAATACAGGTTGACCAACAACTGAGCACACACAAAATCTGAAAGAAGAAATTCTTATCAACCCACCAATATCTGGGAAGAGGTGAAATCTTTGTAGGTAGTGACGTATCTCTGTGTGGAAAAAAATCTGTAGTAACCTTCTGGATCAACTTCTTTCAAGGACTAAACAATTTGGATACATAAATTTAAAATATGTTTTTGATTTCTTATTCCTACTCATTTATTCAAATAATTTTGATGGCTGCTTGCAGTGTGAAAAGCAACCTCTGAACAATCCAGATCATAAATGTCTCAGGTCACAAATAGCCATTGAGATGAGTGGCTTTCTAAATCGATTTAATAGGTAAATCAATATTTGAACTTCCCGTGTAACTTTAGCTAGCAGAACCTCATTAAACTCCTGGCCCAAACTGCTATGGCTACCTGAGAAATCACAATCAACAAACCACCATTCGACTTCCGGTTTGAATTCCGGCGCCGATGGCGGCTTTTTTCTTTGCCGCCCGCCCCGAGGATGCGTAAAAGCCGCAGGAGCAGCGCCAAACAGCTGCTCCGCGGCTTGGAATCCCCTTCCCCGGGCAAAGGGGAGGGGGGGAGCCTCCCTGATAGGGGTAGAACTCCCGATCTCTCACAGTTTTACAGCTGTGGGGGTGGAGGTGAGTTCCCCCGGAGTCAGGGACATCTCCGCGCTTCGGGCTGCCTCCGTTCCAGTGAACGAAGCCAGACACGGATTCAACCTCTGCTTATGGGAGATCGTGAGTAATCTTTGTGAGCGGACAGAGCGATCCAGGTGTTTGGGAGCTGCAAGGATTTGAGCCTTTAGCTCTGAATTTAATGACTTCTCCATTGATGTTTAAAGGTTAAGAAGAAAGGAAGAAAAAAAATGGCTGTGGAAGGGCATTTTGCTCTTTAACAGAGACTTTCACTTTTTGAGGACTTTCAATTTTGTTTTCACTTTCTGCTGGACTATTATTGTATTAGATCTACTTGTATTGTTGGTGGGCAAGCTATTTGCTTCTGCTTTTTGTGGCAGTTTTAAGAAAATCTTATTGGACATTATATTATATAAATTAAATTAGAGAAGAGGGNGTGCAGCTCATAGACGTAAAGAAAGAGAGCAACGAAGAGTGGATGCGGTACCTGTGGAGCAGCAAGTAACTTCAGAGCCAGTGGGAGGAGCGAGACCAAAGAAATCAGTCTCGGCTGATTTGCAAGGGGCGTTCCTGAGGCTCTCTGCCACTAAAGATGGCAAGGTTCCTGACATGGAATGTTAATGGCTTGAATTCACCGCAGAAAAGAAAAAAGGTATTTTATTATTTGAAGCAACACAAAAATGATGTTATTTGCTTGCAAGAGACTCATATTACAGCAAAAGATCAAAAGTATTTGACCAATTCACGATTGGGAACACATTTTATTGCACCTGCGCCCCAGAAAAAAGGTGGAGTAGTTATTTATGTTAAGAATGAGTTTTTGCCTAAACTGATTGATTTTGACCCAGAAGGAAGATATGTTTTCATTGAAATACTTTTGAATGGGAAGAAATGTCTTATTATTGGATTATATGCTCCGAATCAACAGCAGAAACAGTTTTATAAATTGATACATCAGAAGTTAAATCAAATGGATTATAAATCTGTTATTATGATGGGAGACTGGAATGGTGTCTTAGATTCAAGAAAAGATAAGAAAGGTTCCTGCACAGTTTTCAACTCAACATTGCCAAAAACTTTTTTTGATCTGAAAGAGGAACTGGAACTAGAGGACATATGGAGGGAACGGAATATGGACGAGAAAGACTATACCTTTTTCTCGGATAGGCACCAATCATATTCGAGAATTGATTTTTTTTTGATAACTAATGACTTTCTTTCCAGGGTGAAGAATGTTAAGATCTTTCCCAGGACATTGTCGGATCATAGTCCGGTGTGGATGGAATTATTTGGTGAAGAAGGAAAGAAAAGATCTTGGAGATTGAATGAAAATTTGTTTAGA